TGCAGGGAACTGCTGGCCCCACCGCACCTCTGCTGAGTGCATTTCTGGTGCATTTGAACTGCACAAAACTAGAAGTGAATAAAACTGTATTCCAGAGATAACCCTGAAAGTAAAACTATCTATTTCCAGACCTGGGAGGCCAAGATAATATCACTAATGGAGATGGCACTCCTGTGAACATGGAAATGAAGGTGAACATGGCCGTTCAAGCGAGTGAATTTTAGTTTCACTTAAAGTTCTTTGTCTACATGTCTTCAGATTTTATAGCTAGATTCCTGAGTGCTTGTTTTCTCTCCTCGAATTAACTCTAGAATATAAACAGTTCTATGCTAACTCTACTTACAAGTGCCATTTCAGGTCCTTAAAACAAAGCAAACTTGTCACAGATACCAATGTCAATGACACATGCATTAGTTCATCACTCACTGTCCTTATCTTGCAGTGCCAAAGATTTCTCTTTCCTGCAAGGTCAGACTGTTTCCCAGCTGTAGGATATCAGACTCTGGCTTTTATTCAGGCACTAAAAAAACAAAAGATGGTGAAAAAAACAGACTCGTCTGACAAGACTGGAAAAAAAACAGGGGATGGAAAAATTCAGAATTCACTGAACTATTTATTCCTCCATCTGCCATGGCTCCCAGTCTGGCCAGCCCAATGGGAAATGCACCAGGAAAACATCATCACTGGGGATTACTGTGTATCAGAAAAACACCCATGTCTGTAGTCACTGTTCCCAAGTTCAGCATGTTCCTCTAACTCATAAAACAGACCGTCCAACTGCTATCTATTGAAACAGTAGAATGAGGAAACCCATTGCTCCCTCAGAATCATTCAGATAGAAAGCAGGATTCCCCACACTACCAAACACTTCCACACAGTAACACCACCGGGCTGCTGTGCCAAAATGCTTCTTATATCTGCACGGTGCTCCCCTAAGAAATTCTTCCTGCCTGCTTGCACTCACTGGAGGCACAGTGCATCTTTTGTGTGCAGCTGCTCTCACTGCACAGCACATCCACCTGCCTGAGTCAGACTGAGCATTATCACTGTTTGCATTTCACTTAGCTGTTCAGATTGATTTGTAGTGTAAACACAACAGAACCGAAGCACACAAAGATCCCTGCCTCGCAGCACTTCTGTGCTATGCAAATAACGTGCTGTCAGAGAGTGCCTAATAACTAAAATATCATCCCTTCAACCATACAAACATTCTTATTACCAGCACCGCTCAAATATTACTATTTTTCTTGTGGAAAATGCCAGCCCTCAGGAGTGCTGGGGTTTTCAACTGCAAGTTTCTTATAAGGTGGATCATCTGACCATTGCCTAAAGTCAATTAGTGATTTAACAAATGGTTTTTAACTCATTTGGAGTCCTAATATTTGTCATAAGCTATTTCTGTTGAATAGTTTTTATGGCAGCAGTCAGCTCGAGAATAATGGGGCACAAGGGCACACCATGGTACAAGGAGTGCTTCTGCGATTGCTGACTCACATTCCTGTGTTTTCCTACAAGCAGTCAGTATTCAGGTCTTGCAGTGAGAACTGAGGCACCAGAAAACAAACGTTAAAACTGGGTGTCCAGTCTGGGATACCCAATGGTGTAATTTTTGCATATGAAGAAGCACAGCACTGTCTGTATTAAAACACAAAGCCCCTTGTCTTCATTTCAGATCACTCCATCAACCGACAGCGTTCACCTGGCTATTGAGGCGGACACTCAGACACAGACAGATACACGAAGCTTGGTTTTGGTGACTTCCCCTAACATCACAGACTGTGACCTCACACAAGGGCAAGCTCAATTTTACCACAAGCAACCACTTCTTGAAGTCCAACCTTTTTGTTTCTTCAGTTCCTGGCAACTAACAAGTGACACTGAGCGTTAAAACAATCTTGTTACACATTAGAGTGCTTCAGTCACAGGACAAAAGGGTCCTAAAATCTGCAGTCAGAATGTGCTTTGTAGCTGGAGAAGCAATGACATATGCCTTGCCAGTACATTCCTTAAGTTTTGGCAACTAAATGGTTGGGCTGTGAGATGCATAGGACAACTTTCACTGTACACTTGTATAACTTTAGATCTCCAATTCACTAAAAAAAACAATAAAGCTCCGCTGTCTGATCTATTTCACTGCTGTGTTCACTGGGTCATTCAGGAAAAAACTCATTGTTCTCCATTGAACAATTCTTATTAGGAAAATGGTATCCCTAGATACAAAAATAGTCAAGACTGACAGCGCAAAGGTGAAAGAAAGCACAAGAGAATTGCAGCAAGAGGAAAAACAATCAAAGGAAAAGGGCAAGAGTAAAAAGCGCAGCTCTCTTATGGCCAACCTTCTTGAGCTTCCCATGCATTGTGGTTGACAGTGAGAACCCGTGTTCCGGAGAAACTGGATGTCCCTCCTCCAGGTAAATCCTCCATTATCCAGTTGAGTCTGAGCACATTGTTTCTCCTTCTCTTAGGGCACTTATGGGGTTATTCTTTACATATCCCTCCTCTAATGTCTCCAAACTTGCAGGAGCTTAATTTTGCTCAACATTTTTCTGTCCCACTTAAACCTATCTGAAATTGGCCAATGAGTTGGTCAAGTCCTTGGCCCTACAAGGGAGAAATGGACAGATGGTTTGATTGCATAAACCTCATTTTCTTAGAAAACCAGGCTAAAAAATGAGAGAAAAAAAGAATGTGCATAAATGTCTTACCATAAATTCCTTGCTGCACACTGAGCCGGCTTCTTGTGGTACAACATGGCTCAGGAAGCACCACAGCCCTTCTTTCCTTGATTGTATCAGTAACTTAGTAATTAGTCAAAGTAACGTTATTCCTCTCCTAGCAACTAATGTAATTTTAATATATTACAGTCTCTTTTAAGTCCAAGCCTTTCTATTTTGGGACTTCCAATTCAGATTTGCCTAATAGCTTCACATAATGGTCCCAGGCACCCAATAAATTCTTCATTTTAATTAATTGGTTTGCTCATGAAGAATCACAATTTACATGAGCAGAAGATGAGATGTATCACAGCTATTACTGAATGTAGGTAATATTTGATTAGAAAAAAGCAGAGAAGCCCTCGTTTCTTTCTTCTTCTTTTTTTTTTTTTCCCGCACAGCAATTGTTAATGATATTGCCAATTTCTACAAGCAGATAAATTAGATTTACCACATAATCAATTAAAATATTTGGAATAGCTTTTAAATAACAATGTTGAGTGTCCTCTTGAATTTACGATGTCTATTCAATGGGTATAAACCATAATGATAACCAAAAGTGACTACTGCGTGCAGATGTAGTTGCTGGATAGCCAATTAATTATTCCTCAGCACAAAGCCACCAAAACTAAAGGTGGCCCTATAGAAGGTAATGTAGGCAACAAGTGGACACCCAAGAAGTTTAACAATTCAACAAACTGCAGTATAGCAGCATAAAGCACCTTCAGAGATTTCAGTCTCAGTCCAAAAATAAAGAATTGTACTCATTGTACTCATCCCAATGACTTGGCAAAGCAGCAGAGTGCAGGATGTGTCTGAAGGACTCTGGGAGAGGAAGGGGAGCTGCATTCTGGGGGATACCATGAAGCCTACTGCGACTAATTTGAGGGAGTAATGGATATTCAGTGAAAATGGATCAGTTTGAAACACTCCTAGTTTCGAACCAAAGTTTCAACACGTAACTCGGAGACTTTCAGGAAGCTTCCTAAAAGCAAGGGAAAAGAAAATGCTGTATTTTTTTTAGGTATCACTATTTCAAAGCATTTACAATAACTCCCCAGTTGCCCAACTCACGAGTTTCAACTCATCAATCTTCAATCTTGTTATTAGGAAAGCAAGGTATTCCACTACATTAAAAGGCAACAAATAAAAACATGAAATGCATTCCAGCAGAAGTCACACCAGCCTGTGGTACTGACTGCTATTATTGGTATATGCGGGATATTTGAATAACAAATGTTTAAACCACTTTCATGTTGCTTTCTTTTAAGGCCAGAATTATTCCTGTGTGAAAAACACAAATCAACGAGTTGGATGTGCTTAGAAACATAACTTCAGAGCATGTCTTTGATATTTGTTCACACGGAGGGTGGTGAGGCACTGGGACAGGTTGCCCAAGGAGGCTGTGGATGCCCCATCCCTGCAGGCACTCGAGGCCGGGCTGGATGTGGCTCTGGGCAGCCTGGGCTGCTGGTTGGCGACCTGCACAAAGCAGGGGGTTGGAATTGGATGAGCATTGTGGTCCTTTTCAGCCCAGGCCATTCTACGACTCCGTGACTCTATAATTTGGCTTATTATTACACTCAGCTCAGCCTGAGGCGAGCAGGGTGTTTCTTTTTAATTTGCAATAAATACAACAGCAGACAGAACCCCAGTCCTGCCAGCTCTGGTTAAGGATCGGTGCCGGGAGCTCCGTCCCAGCTTCGTGAGCTTTCATTTCCCTCCACCTCTCCGCTGCCCCGGGCCGCTCCGTGAGGTGAGGGGCGGGCGGAGGGAAGCGGAGCGCCCGGCGGGGCCGGACGGACACCGCGCGCACCCAATGCGCTCCGGCGCTGCCTTTCCGAAGGGAGGGGAGAACCCCGCGGTCGGGCCCAATGAGGCCGCGCCCGGAGCGGGACTTCCTTCGGGGATCCCGCGGCGGGGAGCCGCGGCGGAGCGGAGGTGACACGTAAGTGCGGGGCCGGGGAAGTTTCCTTTGTTCCTCTCAGGTGGCGTTGGTGCCGGGCCGGACCGCCCGAGGCGAGCGGGGAGCCGCCCCGAGCCCCGCAGCCGCAGCGCCGGGGGCCGCCGCCGTCCTCCCGCCGTCCCCTCCCGCCGCCCGGGCGGCGCAGCATGCGGGCCGGTTCCGCCTGGAGGCGCGGGGCCCGCGGGCTGCACGAGGCCGCCCGGGGCGTCGCGGCGGTGCCCCGGGGCTGAGGCGCTCGGCCGGCCGCTCCCACCTCCTCCCCACCCCCCCGGCGCGGACCCGGGGTCTCCGATGTCTCCGCCTCGTCGCCGCCGCCCGCCGCCTCCCGCCGCTGAGCCGTGAGGGGCGGGGGCGCCGGGACCCCGCGGGGGACATGGGCAACGGGATGTGCTCCCGAAAGCAGAAGCGGATTTTCCAGACTCTCGTGCTGCTGACCGTGGTGTTCGGCTTCATCTACGGGGCGATGCTGTACTACGAGCTGCAGAGCCAGCTGCGGAAGGCTGAGGCCACGGCGCTCAAGTACCAGCAGCACCAGGAGTCCCTGTCGGCCCAGCTACAAGGTACTGCTGCCCGCCTACGGCCACGCATCCCCCTTCTCCGTGTGAGCCTGGCTTCCCGCTGCCCCACCGCTTGCCAAGTTTTGCTCCTGGGGAGCTTCCCTCCCTCCTCTCCCTGCCGGCTCTGGGGCTGCCCTGCTTTGGTGAGACCCCCCAGCTCCAGCGGGATCAGACAGCTCTGATACAGAATCGTAGGGGTTGGAGGAGACCTCTGGGGATCGTGAGTCCAATACCCTGCTAAAGCCGGTTCTCTGCAGTAGGTCGTATAGGAAGGCAGCCAGGCATCCCTCACTCCCATGCGTTGTGTAGAGTGCCTGCAAATCCCAAAGGCACGCACGGCACACTGAAGTTGGCATGAGTAAAAAAGGCAGCTATGCTGCTGTTCAGCAGCACAGAACACCCCACTTCTGGGACTTCCATGCCTCTGTGCTGTCCCAGCTGTACTTGTTCTATTCATAGAATCATATCATAGAGTGGCCTGGGTTGAGAAGGACTGCACTGACCATGGAGTTTCAACCCCCCCTACTATGTGCAGGTGTGTTCTGTGGTGCTTACCGACTGTTCTGTTGCAGAAGCACAAAGCTGTAGTTCCAGGAGGACAGGTAACATGGAAATAGCTCCAACAGAGGGAGGAATGTTGTAATAATTTACTCCCTGAAAAAAAAAAAAAGTTTGAGTGTAAATTTCAAATAAATTATATGGGTAATGAAACAACCTTGAGTTTCTTGGCTTAAAGCTGTAGCATAAATGCAAGTTCTTATGCAGCTTGGTTTAAGGATGCATTAGATGTGGGCTTTGTGTACTTGGTGAAAAGCTGCTGATCTCTGACATGCGGGAATCAGATGCAAAGAGGCAAATACATATGCAAAGCATCAGCACTCTTGGGGGTGCAGCACCTCAGCACCTGTCTAACTGTGAAGTGCGAGGTTATCAGACCAACACATACAAAGTCCAGAGCCAGGTTTCAGAAAGCTTTAGGATTTTTTTCCCCTCAAAATTGTGTAAAACAGATGAATGAACTACTCTAACAACTGTAACACTACTTAACTTCAGGGTGATCTTCAACCAGACTTGTCTGTGTGGGAGCAGACATAAGAGCATACCTAGAAGTGTGTAGTTTTCATACAGAGATAGCAGAATTAAGAGTCTAATAGAATAATCCTATGATGGTTTGTAACTTGAATGTATTTAGCTGTGACCTGAGGCCTCCATTACTTTGTTTTTCAATTCCAAGCAGAAACGCTCTAACAAAAAATAATTAAAACTTTTCATTTTAGTTGCCAGCGAGGTGTACATGTTTGGCTGGGAGGTGGGTATGTGGCAGAGGGCTAAAAGGCTACTTTTGCTATTCTGTATATTTGCCAACAGTATTTGAAGGGGAAACAGGAACATCTTGTTCTCGGGTTAAAATTCAACAAGTTAGCTTCCTCTGTTGCTCTGGCAATGCCAAAGAGGAGCATGCAACAAACTAAGCAAACAGAGATGGGCTTTGGATCATATAGGTTAAATGCAGACTGTTAGTTTGTGTGTTCCCCTTTTGAAACGTACCGTCAGCTATCCCAGCCAGTTCATGGAGGAATCCCGGTAGATTTTGTATGGTGCACTCTGGAATGGACTTCTGGGTCGTCCTCGGTGTTTTTGCTGGAGGGGTTTGTTAGTGGTGGCAGCACGGAGGCCTCGGGGCTCTGCCCAGTTGACTTGGAGGTTCACAAGCACAGAAAACCCAGAGCTATTTCTGAACGCTTCCCGCTTTGTTAAACTCTTCCGTATGGAGCGACAGGAGGGAATTAGTTCTGAACAGGGATGTGCAAACAACATGACGTGCTAACAGAAAACCTTGTGTTTGCAGGTGCAGCATCTGACTGCGCTTTGAACTTGTAAATAGTCCGGATTTTAAGTCAACAGTGTTTCTGTCACTAAACAAAAACGGCCCTAGACCAAAGCTACATCTCTTTGCCGTCCTTTGTGACACAAGAGAGATTGTTTTTGAATTATTCTTTTAGGAAAATTGCATTATAATTAGAGCAACACAGCTTATCTCTTCCATGTGACATAATCGGTTTCTCTGAGATAACGTTGAGTCTTGAAGAGTGCACCAAAATCTTTTAAATGGGAAGTAGCTGGAAGGGCTGGTTCACTTGCATTGCATTGCCAGGAGGGAGAGAGTGGGTGTATTCACAGTGGCTGATTCCTCAGTGCTTTCTGCTCTTTTCTGGGTGATTGAATAAGACTTTAAAGCTCATTACCAGCAGAAGAGAGAATTGAACCCCTGACTTGTACTTCCTGAGCAAACATTTCATCAGTAGGCTTTTATTTACTTAAAAAAGGAAAAAAGGCAACTTTCTGGAGTTGTCCTTTTGAGGATCCTTTGCTGGGCTGGCGGAAGGGCTGCTGGGCTGAGATGTTGGGATGGCAGTGAAATACTGTCTGTCCTCTGCATCTGGTTGGGTTCAGCTGGGACTGATTGGGCCTATAGAAGAGCTGCTCTCCTGGCTGCACGAAGAGAAACACTGTTGGGGTTTCTGGGTGAAGTTTGAGCTGGTCTGTGAAATGCTTAAAGGAGCATAGGTGATTCCTAAGTTTGTTTATCTGATCAGATTTCAATGCCAGTTGAATTGTAGGCTCTCTTTGCTCCCTGCTGTGCCTTCTACACTTTTCTCTCTGCACATTTTTTCAAGGCTTTAATCTATGCTCGGTGATAGGAAGCTTCTTTTTGGTACTTGCCAATTCTTCATGCCTGACAGAGCAGCGTTTTCTGATTTTGCTTGAAAAGCCAGTCTTGCATTTTTATGCTTTCCATGGTATTGCGTTATAAATGCAGCATGTGAAGCAGGCTGAGTCTTCTGTACAGCCAGGGGAGAAGAAAACGACCTGAATGTACGGCATGTACAGATAGCTGGAAAGTGATGCTGGAAGAGGTGTCAAAATCATTTAGCGTGTGCACTGGTCTGAAGAGCGGTGCATATGGCTGTTGCTGTCGGGTGTTCTGCTCTTTCAGGTGTCTGCAGCTTGTGGGACTCAGCTGAGAAGCATATGTGCTCGTGAAATAAGGGCAGGTTGTGATGGGAGCAATGGCTGATGTGAGCAGCATGGGAAGGTTAGCTGGTTAGAGGCTGGATCTTAGGCATAGCCTTCAGACAGCTCACATTGGGTCACCAACCAGCAGCCCAGGCTGCCCAAAGCCACATCCAGCCTGGCTTTGAATGCCTGCAGGGATGGGGCATCCACAGCCTCCTTGGGCAACCTGTTCCAGTGCCTCACCACCCTCTGGGTGAAAAACTTCCTCCTCGTATCTAACCTAAACCTCCCCTGTCTCAGTTTGAAACCATTCCCCTTGTCCTATCACTGTCCACCCTTGTAAACAGCCATTCCTCCTCCTGTTCACATGCTCTCTTCAAGCACTGGAAGGCCACAATGAGGTCTCCCCGCAGCCTTCTCTTCTCCAAGCTAAACAAGCCCAGTTCCCTCAACCTTTCCTCACTGGAGAGCTGCTCCAGTCCTCTGATCATCTTAGTTCCCTCCTCTGGACCCTCCTCAAGAGCTCCACGTCCTTCCTGTGCTGGGGTCCCAGGCCTGGACGCAGTGCTGCAGATGGGGCCTCACAAGAGCCGAGCAGAGGGGGACGATCACCTCCCTGTCCTGCTGGCCACCCCTTTTTAATGCAGCCCAGAACACAGCTGGCCTTCCGGGCTGCAAGTGTACACTGCTGGCTCACGTCCAGGTTCTCATCCGCCAGGACCCCATGGAAGAAAATGTCAAACTTTGGCATTTTTACCTCCTAACAAAGTTCTGATTGGCAGGAGAAAGTAGGGCTACTTCACATTGGGAATTAACCAGAGGCTACATTTTGAGATGAAACAAAATCTCTTGGCTGCTAAGAAAACCCAAAGCCATTGTTATCTGTGAGGTGTTCTGCTGAGAAGATGATCTTGGTAAGCTGATTATTTTAAATCTCGTTCTCAGAGCATTAATGTATTTGAAACATGAAGACAATCTTATTTAATATTTCTTAAAATGATAAAAACAAAACTTGATACTGTTTGCCTCCTGCAAAGATGCCATCAAACTAAGTCTTAAGCTGCTGACTGTATAGGAGCAGGCTTCATTGCTGAAACAGATATGTGTTGACAGCTGTAGACAAACCTGATCGTATCTTGGACTGCTTTGAGATTAATGCATCTACAAACGGGTTTTTAGCTCTCCCAACTTCTGTCTTTGCATCCTCTGGGCATTAGGTAATTCCTTGTGTACTGTTTTAATCTGTTTAATCTGTCTTAATCTCTAATCCTAATGACAGCATAAATCTAGTGTCTTTTACTACCTTCGTTTTCCTTATCTTTCTGTTGGAGCCTTAATGTATCCACTGCCTTCAGGCTATCTGCAGTCTGAGATGTACTGTAATCTTGGGCAGCAACCCAGCAGGGGCTCTGAACTCAGAGGTCAGAGTTGGCACAGTTGCAGCCAACGTGTGGCTTTCCACAAAACTGTCTGATCCAGTACTGCAAAGCTCCAGCTGAAAAGCCAGTGGAGTTCCTCGGTGCTTCTTGGGCCTCTCAGCCTAAACTGAGGCCCCTCCTGGGAGGTGACCTGCTGGAACTTCATCAGACCCACAGCAGCTAGATGCACATACGTGTGCAGAATGCATCAGCAGCATAGTTCAGGTGATGGCTTGCTGTGCTAAGCACACAATGTGGGAAGAGTGGAAGAGGGTGGAAAAGAACTTGCAATTGTATTGACAGTTTTTTTTAATAGTTAATGTCTGAGGTTGCACACTCCCGGAGAGGTTCAGTTACAATTGTAAGATGATGTCTTACATATAATGTGCCAGACACATTGTCTCGTCGGGCTGGATGTTTTTGCTGAGCTGGATACAGGATACTCAGTCAGTGTATCTGGGTGGGGCGACTGCATGATAGTTTCCATCCACTCTGAGCTTTGAGTATTCAGTGTAGCATCTCTTATATAGCTGTGAAGATACCTGCAGCAATTTGTGGCTAGTATAG